AAGTCTGTGTGAAGATGACGTTTCGCTGCTCATCCCTCCCCACCCCCAAATACTTTGTTTATGATTTTGATTTTCTAAATACTCAGAAAAGCACAGCATAAAGTACTTTGGCCTTAATGCTCCTTTTTCAGTCCCTAATAACAACTTCATGTGCTCCGTAGAAACGGACCATGTAATTTATTCAGGAAAATCAAAACCAGTAATCTGGTATTCTGTGTGAAGATTTTTCCCCCCTTGCATGTGCTTAAAAACATTTAAAAAGAAAACAAATCTGCATGTGAAAACAAAGCCTCTAAAGTGAATTACTGTTGCAGAAAAATCAAACCAAGAGGATTCCATAAAAGTCACCTTTTTCCTTTTTGTTCCTTTACCGATAGAAGAAAGCAATTTGGGCACCTTAAATAGAGTTGAACGAGGAAGAAAATTTTCCCCTTTGAAGGGTCCTGCCCAGTAGGAGGTGGGCATGTTTCTTTGCATTATAATCTACGGTAACTTTACCTATAAATTCTGAGCAAGAAGTGTCCCAAATAACCACGCTTCATAAGCCTTTCTGAGTTTGAGACATCTACATAGCAACAGTCTCACGATGGGGAAACATTAATGCTTCTTATATTGGTGATCATCTGTAACATGAGCAATTAAGTAGCGTACTAATGGACTATGGCCAGGAGCCTGGTACTAATATTAAAAACTGACAGAGATGAATAGGTTTGGAAGCAAAACCAGGCTGACAAAGACATTTTTATGAAGTGCTTGGACCTATTTGATTTAAACCAATCAGAGGCACGTTTGGACGAGTCAGGCCTTCAGCGACAATGACGCATTCACAGGCATTGTACCCTTTCTGCTGTGCCTTAAATAAAAACACCCATTGATTCTTTTCAACAACCCACACTTTCATTATTACACTCATTAATAAACCAAAAGTGCACAACTAATATACAAGCAACATTTACTGAAGAACCGGCCATTTTTTCTTGTTGGAAAATGAAAACATTTACGGGAAACATGAGCCACCCTGCATGAAAAATAAATCAGTGGATAATGCATAGTAGATTGCTCATTTCTTCTTCATCTTCTAAGGAAGCGAAGCTGGGGGTAGGGAAACAGGAAAAGGACCAGTGTCTGTACCAGAGTGAAAAGAATGAGACACCAGGTGAACCACCAACAGAGGAAAAACCCCTCTGGCTCTGGTCCAATTGGAAGAGATTTACAAATTTCCAAGAACATCTCCAGCTAGATGCTCGCCCACAACATCCTGACTCTTTCCAGCTCCTTGAACCTTTTTGAAAACAGCGGTCCATCACCCATCTAGTCATCTGTTTTCATTGTGCTGGCATAGCCCATAACTAGTAAGAATGGATGAAATCGGCCATAGTCACCAAGTCCAGTTTTTGTCAAGAACTTTAGCTCTTCTTTGCCCAAGAAGAACTCTTTCCGGTCCCTGGACAGATGGTAGTATCCTCTGCTAAGACCTTTAAAGGCACGTAAGCCATCTAGAGCAGTAGTTCCTAAACTTTTCTTCCACAGTACATCGGAGTATGCTGACTCCTTTGAAGTCATGATGGGTTCAAATGAGGGAGAGTGCCATTACTGTCAGTAATTCCTAGTGACTCAAGACGCCCTGTATCTGATCACAACATGTGAGGAGCCCAGATGGCAAAAGGAAATGCCAAGGCAGGGTTAAGGGCCTTGCTAATCACCTGGGGTTGGCTGTGCTCTTATCTGGACTTCGGGCTCTGCGAGGGGATTTCCATGTTGGGGGTCCCACTTAGCTGTGGGGTACTGTCTCTCAACTGCAATTCCACCCTCTGTGCTCTGTGTGGTGATGCTGGGATAAATTACATCTCATTTGTCAGCTCTCTCCCTGTTGGGGTTGCTTGCTGTTCATTTCAGCGCCTACCCAACAGTAACTCAGCAGCAGCAGTCGGTTCCAGCCTCTGGCTTCTTTCAACAACCCCAGAACAGTTTCAGTGCATGTTGTCTGAGGTCTAGCACCCGCCAGGGAGCACAGCCTCCCAGGTCTGAGCCCAGCTCTGCAAGGCTCCTCCTCCGAAGCACCAGCACGGACTGGGTGCCTCTCCCCAGACGGGACCTGAACCCCAGCTCTGTGAGGCCCACTCTCTGAACAGCTGGGTAGCAACACCTCTTTTCTCTACTCTCCCAGCCCCGAGGAAACTGTAGTGATTACCTTGATATTAATGTAGTGCTTCACACCAACACTTGTCTAAGCAAGTCCAGTAGTACATTCTCTTTGTTGCATACTTAGTGTGCTGTCTGTGTTTTGCTTACTGATAGACACTGACCAAACAAACTATTTCAAATTCAAAGACATAGCTTTTCAAAAACGCATAATCCAGTGGGAAACAAAACCTTTATGAAATATCCATTCCACTCCCAAGAGTGAAGAGAGAAGATAAATTTTTAAAAGAGAAAATCTTTAACAATGTTTCTTAGTTGCTACAGTTTGAGGTATCTGTGCTAGAATTTTCCAACTCGACTGGCATTTGGAATTCTGCTACTCTAGGAAGTGGTAAATCATGAAACGAAGTACACAGTCTTCAAAAGAAGACTTGCCATTTCATTTAAGATTTAGGTTTATTTTTATCCGCACAACTGCTTGAGTAAATCACACACACCCACACACACATCTATTAAGTTCAATCCTTTTTCCATCCCAAACCTTATCTTTTTTTTTTTTTTTTACCATGTGATGTTTTGTAATATGTTTGATTAATTTTTCATTCTTTAACTGGATGAGCTAGTTAACAGCTGAGACACAATCATTTTTTAAAATGTAATTGTTATCCTTTAAGCTTGATGGTGCACATGTTAGGAACATTTGCACCCGGAGGTAAGGAAGGTTCACCATCAGAATCGAAGCTATTTGAAAGTACAGGGTTTCTAATGAAAACATTCTGAGTAAAGCCTTGACTCAGGAGTCAAAACCAAGCTGACTATGATACCTTGGACGCTATTTACAAAACACTCACCTGAGATAACAATGCTATTTTGTGCTACTACTTTTGAAGTGTACATGTTATGTACAGTGAGAATGTGTGCTCCTGTGTTAAATACTAAGAGAAATAACACTCATACTTGAGAAATTGATGTACTATACTGGAAACAATGCTATGAAGAATAATAATTTGAGCCCTGGCCTGTGTGGCTCAGTTGGTTGGACACTGTCCCATGCACTGAAAGGTTACTAGTTCGATTCCTGGTCAGGGCACATGCCTGGGATGTGGGCTTGATCCCCAGTGTGGGGCATGCAGGAGGTGCCGATTGATAACTCTCTCTCACATTGATGTCTTTCTCTCCCTCTCCTTTCCTCTATCTCTAAAAAACAATAACAAAAAAATTTCTTTAAAAAGGATAATAATTTAAATTCCTGTTACCAATTTTTAAAAATTCCTCTGGATTATAATACTGTCGAGCGAGGCAATCTCTTGGGAACACATTGTAGGAACTTTTCATGGGATATGAAACCCAACTCAATTTCTTATAATTATAATCTACAAAAACATTGTAAGTTTTGTTGAATGGCTATACTAAAAGAAGCTCTGTGTTAAATGCAATACAGAAAAAATACATTTGAAATGTAAGGAAATATGACTAAGGGCTGATGTGTTCGATGAAATTATCTGAAGATTCATTTGTATGATCCAAAGGTGGGTGTCAAGCATCTGTGTTGAAGTAAGAATGGTAACTATGTGAAGAACAACAATCAAATGTATCAGTTGTGTTTTAAGTTGCAAACTAGCCAGCTAACTGGCCTGTTTGTTCAGCTGACTGTATCTTGTTTCATTCTATCCATAGCTGTTATTTTATTATTATTATTTTTTTGGTATGTGCCCCTAGCGGGAACTGAACCCAGGACTCTCTGGTCTGAAGGCTGACACTCCAACTGCTGAGCCAAACCAGCCGGGGATATCCATAGCTGTTATTAAAACACACACAGACACACAGACACAATCTCCAGTTGTCTCTCACAAGCTCTGAATTTGAAACCGGGGAGCTGAGTCAGTCAACACTTCAGAAGGGAAATGCCACTGATGAGGAAGTTGCGAGTCACTGAAACAAATTAAGCATGGGCTCGAAGCACAGAGCAAGAATAATGCCTGGGTCTGCCAACTGGTCTTCAGTGTTGTGGGTAACGTAGTCCTGACACAAAGGGAGACAACCCTCAGAGTGGTCTAATTTGGCATTACTTCTTGTTCGTGTTATCAACACCCTCCTGAAGAAGCTTTAATCATTAGAAACTAAACCATACAGAACTAAACCATACAGAACTTGGCAAGAAAGGATTTCCCAGTCAAAAGCATAGCCAGAGGAGAAAAATACCAAGATGGGACAAAACAACGGATCTCATCTGAGGCCAATTTTCTTAGTAAAGATATGCTTATTTTACAATATCAATACATTCAACATTAATACATTTCAGTGTTAACAGTTAGATGGTAACCTCATAGTAACACTGCAGACCTGTTTCCCAGACCCTGAAGGTTCTCCTAGTGAATGAACCCACAGAGAACTTACTGAGTAATCTACGCGTGTGGGGCGAAAATGGTATCATCAGGCAGGTGGTCACAGAGCAAAAGCAAACTTAAAAGAATGTCTAATTTCAGTCCCAGGAACCAGAGAAAGCCATGTCCCATAAAAATCACAAGCACGTGCCCTGGCCAGTTTGGCTCAGCAGTTAGAGCCACGGCCCTCTAACCAGAGAGTCTCCATTTCGATCCCCGGCTGGTCGGGGTCAAGGGAGAGGCAACCAATCGATGTGTCTCTTCCACACCAATGTTTCTCTCTCTCCCACCCTCTCACTCTATCTAAAAACATCACGAGGAGATATGCAAAGCGAAATGCCAGAGGGACATTTTCCGTTTCCTACAAGGTCCTTTACCTCCTGTCTTATCCTTGATCAGAAATGTCTTCCAACGAACACACTTTCAATTAAGCAAGGACTTTCCAAAATACTAAAAAAGCTTCTGTTTTTTTACCTTTCATAATGTCTGCGGGTGCAAGTGGCGGCGCTGGTGCTCCCAGGGTTACCGCCTAATTCATCGTAAATGTGTTTCCATTGGCGGCGGGCTGTTATCTGAAAAAATGGCAATGGGAAATTCAATTTTGCATCAGCATTCAAGACATGTGCAACAGTCAAAGGAGAACAGTCTGTTCTGGAAACCCAGGGACAGAGACGTGAGTATACAGGGAAACTAGCAGTTGTACAGTAAGATCAGCACTTTTCGTTGCAATAACAATGAAATTCTGCTTTGGGCTCTGTATTTTGTCCCCCTCAGTGCATTTTCAACCAAGGTACCTCCCTTGTGACTTACGTAGTGATGTGCCCCCCGAGATCCCAAACTCGTACTCTGCTCCTTTATGTCATGTGAGGAAGCATCAAAATAAAATATTTTTTTCCTAAAATGTATCTGAGTGCATCCCCTTAAATACACACAATTAACATGGGTTGCTCCAGGGATGTGGCAACAGGTGGCCAAGCGAAGAGAAACTCTTTTCACCAAACATGCTTTTGTATCTTCTGATTTTTGAACTATGTGATGATATGCTGCCTGCTTTAAAAACTAAATAAATTACAACATAAGCTAATTAAGCCGATCCAGTTGGTTATGGAATCTGCAGTCATTCCAGGTTACATTTCTATGACAGCTTCTCTAACCACCAAAACAGAATCCAAATCTACAACTGTACATGTCATGCAAGCTGTATATTTTTATTCACTTAGGTCGGGAAAATGGGGTATCAGTCAAACCCTATGAAAACGAACATATTCCAAAGTTAAAATGCAAGTTATGTATATTATTGAGTTAGGTGAATAAAAACAAACAGCTTGCGATATGCGGAGTGGCACCCTATAGTCCTGTTTTATTGATTTTTAAAAATTTTATTTTTGTACATAAACTCAGAATAGCAGATGCACGATCTGGCAGAGGATGAACTGTGGGAAGCCCCATCCTTTGCGACATCCCCAGCAAGTCTAGTGTTTCTCTGGAACTAGGAAGACAGAACACGATTCTAAGGTCCTTGCGAAGGCTTCTAACCAGGGTCACAGGGAACTGTGATTGGACAGTGCCGTGCAGGGTGTGGCAATGGGGCCAGCGGCGTTTAGTACAATCAGAGCAGGACGCGTCTGGTGGAAAATACCCGCAGAGCTGCCTGCGGGCTTCACTTAGGGGCTAACGGCAGTAATCCAGGAAAAAATTCTCAATATTTAACCAGGGGCTCTGAAATTGTAATCGAAGGAGGAGGGCAGGGGTGGTCAAATATTATAAGATAAATGGCACCCTTTCCATTTCAAATATAAAGAATCCCTTCATTTCCAGAAATCCTTCTCAACAGGCCCAAGTCGGACCTCGAGACAATGAGTTCTGCTTCGTTCAATTTCCCATGAAGCATTCTTGAACCCATTTGTTTCAATGGTTCTCACTGGACAGACCACCTTTACATCTACTAGTAGGTATCACTGAAAACAAAATCCTCCTTTATTTGTGGCTTGGTTTTGATTATAATAAATGGTTTCAAGCCCATTTCAAAATACATATCTTGGAAATTCTTTTCTATTTAAATACAACCTCCCTCCATCCTTTTAAATAATAAAACAATTTCAGGCTGATCTTCCTGAGACCTGTGTATCCAGGAAGAAGAAACAGGATCCCCTCCTCTCAAGTGCTTATAAAATTCCTCAAAGCCCATGCCAACCTCCCTCAGATGGGGTGTGCCGGCCCTGGGGAGCCCAGCAGAACACACCATCACTCTGGTCTTTCCTGCATCTCGTGGGCGCTGTATTTCGTATTTTATAAGTTTTCACAGCCATTGTATCCATTAGTTCTCCCATCAGCCTTTGAGGCAGGTTATAGGAACCTCACTCACTGAGGGAAGGGGGATGAAGAGAGGTCGCATGACTGGCCCAAGGGCTTTGGAGCCGCAGACCAGCAAGGCCAAGGTGTATGCCGATGTCTTACGGTCCCAAGAGCAGACCTTTCCCCACTGCATCAAAGCGGCCTCCATGTCAGAATGACCTCCTGGATAGCCCATGCTTGTAGCAAGGTGCTAATACAGAACTTTGGGGGCTTTTGCTTCAAGTGAGGCAGATGACCGTGGGAAGTACAGCTTCTGCTACAAGTTCTCAACTTTGACCTTGGAGTTTCTCACTGGTGGGCAAATAGGGTAGCTATGAGGTCAGCAGGAATCTAAGGAGGTGGTCTATGTCAATAGTGCTCTGAAATTTTACTCTCTTAAAGAATCAAGTACAACTATGGTTCCTTCTACCCTGACTGCCCGTGTCTCTAGGTAGAACAGAGGCTTTGTTATTATGTTCACCGCAGAGTCACAGAAAAGTTCCAGTGATATCTGAGCCCATCCATTCACTCATCCATCCATTCACCAGTTACTGAACATCTCCCGCCTGATTAGTGCTAGGCTAGCAGCTGAGATGCAAGAGTGACAACCAGACCCAACACCCAACATCACTGCATCCTTGTGGGGGGATTCCAGAAATAAACAACTGACTAAATACATAAGCAAAATAATTTGTGAAAAATGTAATGAAGAAGAGACCAGTGCAGACAGGGATGTTTAAGGTGTGGAAACTGACCATGCCCACCTCCTCCCCAACATCCTGTTATCTAGACTAGGGAACGCCCTGTTAAACACTTGCCTATCACAGAGATGACAAAAGTTATTTAAGAATAATAATGAATAATGATGAAATAATGAATTATAAAAAAGGAAAAATAAAAAAACTTCATAAAAAAGGGGGGGAAAAAATCTTCCTCACACCAGGATTGAAATGGTGGCAGCAGGAAGCCAGAAGCATCACTTGGTGCTAACAAGCCACGAGCAGCAGGCCAGGGGTCTCTGTTAGCCCCATGCTAGCAGGTTCTCTCTTTAAATACAGTTTTACTAGTGAGGACTCATCTGGAGTGAAGGGCTGGGCCTTCAAGGAAGTGGTCTCTCTACTTCCCGAGCCTCCACTGGCCAGCCTGGACGAATCAGGCCATGTGGAGATATTTTCTTTCCGCAGGAAAGTCATAAAATGTGCTCTTTCCAACTACTAAATGCTTTTAAGTGCACATCTCTACTTTTTTGTGCCCAGGTGCACTTTTAATTCAGTGCTCACCATGCAAATATCTAAATCCTCCCATTGTCCAAACTTATAATGGGTCTCGCGGCCCTGTAAGCAGAGGAAAGGACATGAGAACTCCTCCCGGCCCAGCTACTGGGCATCGAGCTCCCACCTGTATGGATCTGCTTCTGTTCTGATACACCTTCCTCATGCCTAATTATCCATTTGCTTAGGGGTTTTGTTCTGTTGTCCAATGTCCTCGCAGAACCAACTTTTGCTTCCTGGTATCCAGCCCCCAGCCCCACTGAGCTGGAAAGTTTGTTCTAGCCAAGGGGTTAGTTTGATCAATTCTCTCATTAAGCTTCAGGCCTCCTGGTCATGTTCACGGTTCAACTTGACCTTCTATTTATTTTAGGTTTTGAAGGATACAAAGAACGGCTGGCTCTTTGTTTCCTAGAGAAAATGGCCAAATTCATTTCTCTTGGCTTTGGCTTCCCCGGTCATCTCCTTCGAGGTTCTCCCTCAGAGGACAGGGTTTCAGGACAGCAATCCACCTCTGCTCCCCGTTTTGGGGCGCTGTCTCAGGTACAGAGGCATGGAGGTGGAGGGTGGGAGGTATCACGAAAAGAAAGAGATGCTACAGCTTTCAAGAGTTCATAATTTAGCAGGAAGCCTCACTAAATTCACCAGAAAGCAAGATGAAAAACTGAGCAGACCACACCTAAGTAAAATAAACCCATCTAGGTGTGTGCGAGACCTAATCTCACTTTGAAGACACTTGACAGTTGCTTCTTCCCCTCGTGTGGTAAGACCCCAGAAGCGCTGTGGAAAGCGCTCTACGCCTTTTATGTCCCTGAAGTCGCATTGCTTATAAATTCAGTGGTTTTCAAACTGCTCTTCTGAACCGAGGTGGTGTTACAAAGAAGGTCTGAAACTCACCCTCCGCCTGCTCACCACCCTCGAGAAAACAGATCCGGTGTGTGGGGAAGGACTCGCCCCTTCCACAATTTTATTTGATGAGAATATCCTGTCACTTAAAAAAAAAATTGGAAAACGGTTTGAACCCAAGACACTGTCCTGGAGCCTCGATTTCACTCCCTTTGAGGTTGCAGGGATGAAATAATCTTGGAATTTTCGTGGCCTGCTGAGGAAATGGCCATCAGAAACCTTGTAGGACTTCGGAGTTTCCATGGCTTGAGGGTGTGTAGGAAATATGGACTCAAAGGAGAGTTTTCCGGCAAAGCAGCGTCGCCCGGGCTACTCTGGGAAACAGCTTCTTTCTCAGGACACCTTGGGGGCGGGCTGAATTAAAGGAAGATGACTTTTTTTTCCTGGTAGTCCTCCAGCAACTGGAGCCTTTCAAAACTACATGACATCATCTTTGGCCTCGAAAATTTTGAATTAAGCAAGAGGCTTTGTCTGTCCGGAGAACTAGGGTTAGTTGATTCAGAAGATGTCTTGAAATGACAGAGTTTCTGTCATTTTTGTCATTTTCGGTCATCTTTCTTCAAAGCCAGAATCTAATGTCAAAGCCTAATCCTTCCGAAGGCAAGAAGGCAAGTGACTTCTTCCCGATGAGGAATGGTGGTGCCATCTCACCCGTGGGGACAGATGGGGCCGCGAGCTGACATTCTGTGAAGGTGCTACTTGCACAGGCTTCTGCCTCTAGGATGCAGTTTACTTGAGACTCATCTCCCGGCTCTGCCGCCTTCCTTGCTCGCACGGCCTCTGGACCACCACCAAAGGGCGAGCCACTCGGAACCACTCGAGCACACCACCTTCCACACACTTTATCCGGTTCCGCATCTTCTATGAATGGTAGGTGCCCAACTCTAAAATGTTTAGGAGTTACATCTAGGACTGCAAAGGGAGGGGTCCTCGTTGCCAACCAATCAAAATGCCAGGATATTGTTTTCCTTAGGAAATCAAATTCATTCACTACGTTTATGATCTCTAAACCCCAGGATGCAGAGACACACTGTACATTTCCATCAAAGGCAGAGGAGCCCAAGGGAACTGAATATGGCCATTAGTCAAATGTTATAAAGCCTTAAAATAAAACTTTTGCTCCTCTTTCTTTTTTAAAAAAAAAAAATTCAATTTAAAGGCTGTGAAGAATTGAAATGAAATAATCCATAATCCACAATTCAAACCAGAAGGTTTGAAATAGTTTATAACCACAAACAAAAACAAACCAATTAAGATGGTCTCTTTTTATAACCAGAAGGAATTCCAGAGGGAGGTCTTTCTCCAATCACAAGTGAGCAGCAGAAGAGATACATTTACAAATTTTAAACTTGACATTTTTTACTATTACTGAATGTTTACATCATCCAGACTTCTTGACCCATCTCCTAAATTCACACATTTTTCTCAAGACTCAGATAAAGTTTCAGTAGGGAACAGTTTATCCACTAAGGATCATGTTAGGTACAAAGAACCAACTGAAAGATGCTACTAATGAAGGTAGGTTATTAGATCCTTTTTCCAAAAATCACGCAAAATATATAGAAAGCATTCTGTCTCATATATAAGAGACGGCCAAGAATGGAAGTCTCAAAGAATGGGCATTTGCGAATCTCCTTCAGCTTCCAATGGTTATGGAATTAATACAACTAACTGTGCACAAAAATTCTCAGCGTGTCAGAATTTGAAGAATGCCACGAGGACCGGTGCACCTCAGTTTACCTCCTTGTGCCTCCATTCCCTCCTCAGTGAAACGAAGTCAGGGACTAGAACACGGCAAAGACCCTTTTCTACTACACAGAGGCCGATTTGTGAAAAATAAACATGCTAGGGTGCTACGCGTTCCCTCACTCGAAATGAAAATAGCTCACTGAGTCCCAGTCTCGATGACCACTCTACCAAGTGGAAAACACTCCTGGGAAACTTGGTGCTGCTTTTAAGCCAAAAAAAAAAAAAAAAATGTCAATAGGTTGGATGTTCATTTAGGAATAGCATGAAGATCACTTTCTAAACTTTGACATTTGACTTGAATGGGGTCCCCGTTTTGAAGCGATGACCCATGAGGGCCAGCATGTGAAGTGGTAATAATCCTTGCTACACTAAGCTTCGAATTAACATCACCTGGAGAGCTTAAGAAAAGGGCTTCTCTGATTCTCAGGCCCGCGCCCCCGCAGAAGTTAATATTTCCGTGTGGAGGCCTAGACAAGGCTTCTGTTTTAAAGTTCCCTATTGAAAATTCGAACCCTAGTTGTTGAGTAGCCTTTGGGAACCACTGATCTAGAAGATTCTAAGATCTCTTTTGAGCTCGAGATGACAAGTCTACACTTGCGCTGGTATCAGATAATCTCACAGACAAGTGTCCTTTGGTAACACTGTGATGACAACTTAAGTCCCCAGGCTTTGGATATTATTCATACAGCTTCTGGACTGACTTCAAAACTGAATTCTCACTGAATGTTTTACAGTTTTATTAGCCAAAATATACCAAGAGAGGAGATTCAAAAGCTTAAGTGTAGAATGGGATTGGGACCCTTGAGTGCCTACGGGGCCAACAGGTACTATGAGGCATTAAAAGAAATAGAAAGAAAAGAGGGAAGGAGGGCGGTGGGAATCCCACCAATCAGCTTCATCCAGTTTATGGCCCCAGACAGATGTTATACCAAGAAGGTGATGGAGACTCACTGCCTGAAATGAGATGAAAACATCTGCAGTGTTATGAAGAATGATAGGGACCCAATGAACGATAAAGGAGTTGAGTGAATGGAAAGGGAAGAAGGGAAAAGGGTAACCCCAGAGGCCACCAGTCCTCTTGTAGCTTGGCTGAAGTGACAGGAAGCTCAGAACCAGATAAAAGGTAGATGCCAAGCTGGTCTTCCATATTCCTCCATCCCAACCTCTCTCTCCTTCACCCCACCTACACACACAATGAAGGCAGAGTACGTGCAAAGCCTAACACTTAGCTTGTCATCCGTCTTGGATGTGTCCCCTGCGGCCTGCGGTGTAACCCCACGGCCTCGCATCCAAGATCTCTCCTCACTGGGCTCCATCCTTCTCTCCAGGCCATTTGTCCCAGCCACCTGTCACTCAGCTTTAAATTACTCAAACTCTCTGGGCCCAACTTTATTCTACCTCCACATTTTATTTCCCCATTTCATTTTCTCTTCCTGGAAAGCCATGCTCTCTCATGTCTAAATCCGTTCTCCAAAATTCTGCTTACCTGAACAATAAGTTCAGAACAATAAGTCTCCTTCCCTCATCTCTAAATGAGGAAGTACTTGACCTGAACAAGGCACTGATCTTTCTCAACCTGGTCTTACAATGCCCACCTCTCTGGATGGTAAGCAATTGGAACTACTGGCCTAGCTATTTTTGCATCTCCCAGAGTGTCCAACACAATGCTTGGTACACATAAGACACTCAGTAAATACAGGGTGGGGTGAAAGTAGATTACAGTTGTGAGTACGAGAAACATGGAGTTTATTCTTGTATTGTTATTCATTAATCATTGTATTATTTTCCATCTGAACCATTCTACGCCTACTTTTGCCCCACCCTGTATGTGTTCAGGTGACTTTCTAATTGTGTAAGCATTCATTCATTCACTCACTCATTCAACAAAAGAATAAATACTCCTTGTTCAAAGAGTACTGCAAATGTCCTGAAACTTATCAGAAGTGTCTTTTGTATATTCTACACCAACTTGCTGTTGCATGGGAAAAAAAAATCCCTGTGAAGATACAGAAGATACAAAAGCAGGAAAAACTGATTCTGTAAAATTTGCTGGCAGTCTCCCTATCAGTGAATAACAGCAAGTTTCTGAGTTTAAAAAGACATTTCGTAATGTTGCGCAATACCGTGTAATGATGTGTCTGTAGTCACAGTTCATTAAAATGTGTGCTCCTATTCTTAACACTAAAAGTTAAACTTAAAAATCTAGGCTATGGGATTGACTCCTAAATTTATGAGAGGAACCCTGAATAAGTTATCTTCTTCATATAGATCAAAGCTATAATTAGCTCAAGATTTTTCAAAACTATGAGCCACAGTGGCAGAGTTACTCTCTTTGTCCAACCAAATGAAAAACAACATTTTTATTTTTGCATGGGGCACTTGATCAAACAAATATTTTAAGCAAATTCATGGCTATGAAATGCACATTTTACAAGTAGTGCATATCGATATTATATTTCCTCACAAACATATGTATAGCCCATATATTAAATAAACATATTACATGCACATACACTCACATTAAAGAGTTTTTAGTCAGAATTCACAGCAGATAATCTCTACAGGAAACACCAGATTATCTGAATCATATAATGCTTGTCATCATTTCCCATCCCCGGGCCCTGACATCAAGCTATTATATTAGTATGTGGAACAATATGCTCTATCTGGCCAGAAACACTGGTTATTATGTTTGGGCTAAAATGAATTTCATTTTCTTGACTTTGTGTCTCTCACTGTCATTTTCCTATGATACAGAGATATCCCAGGTTACTTTGTAAAGAAAGGAAAAACAATTTCTTATTCAATTGTAGAAGAAACTGCATGGCTTAATCTGATCATTGTGTGGAGGAGAAAATATTTCCAGTGACGACATCTTCCTACGTCAACTGATGTTATTATAGATGTCATCTCTGTGCGCTCTACTAACGCAGCTCCTTCTTCTTCGTTCAAGATTTTAATCTTAGTTCGTTGCGCTAACGTTTTATGGGTTCAAAAATACATGCTGCAGAACTCCGTGGCCACCAAATTGTCCTGTGGGCTAAAAATAGCCCATTCCTGTCAGTTAGAATTAGCTGATAAAGAGTGTCAGAGCCTGTCCAGAAGAAGTTTGATAACTTCCTGTTTATGTGGCACTGACCCTTGTCTAATAAAGCTTCTCTGCCCTAGAATGAGAGGAGATTCTGCTGCGTTTTATTCCTTAATGGCCAATACTGATTACTTTTGAAAGCCTTTAATACATTTCCCATATTAGACATGAGCAGATGTCAGGTACGTTGCCAAGGGAAATTTCTTTCATGCAATCTTGGCTTGTTGTACAATAATAGCCCTTTCTCAACATGGGAAAAAATTACAGACCCAACTAATTTCCCTGACAGGGGAGAGTTACATATGTTTTCCACTTGTAGTTTTTACGACAAGTTTACAATTTTGCCAAACCTGGAACTAATTGGGACTGTTTCCAAGAGCGGTCCAATAAACCCCCAAAAGTGTAGAGCCATTTGAAAAGGCAGTCAGTGATGGTTTGCTTTTGCATTTTCTCTATTTTGGTCAAAGCGGGGGAGGGGTTTAGATTGCAAAATTATTTCATTTAAGTTGCTTAAACACTTACTGTTTCATATCCTCCCAGTTTTTGAGCAGCTTGAAACATAGTCCAAAGGTTAACTGTTAGAGGGACAATAAGTATTTAGATAAGCATTGCATTAACATATTTCCAAGAAATGTCAATTAAAACATTTTTTGTTTTGTTTTGTTCTTCAATGAGAAAGAGAAAAGAAAAAAAAAAAGAAAGAAAAAAAAAAAAAAGAAATACTAACGTACCCCAGAGATCTAAGTTCTTAGGAAACAATTTGCCAAAGGGCACTCAATAACAGGATATAATATTACCACTTAAAATATTTCTAAAGGACAGTCACAAATACAGAAGTGGTTCTACTTTTAGGATAAAGGACAACACAGTTTTCATCTTGTTGCCACCAGCAGACTGAGAGGAGCTAAATTAGTGTCCTTGGGGAAACTGGGATTTTTCCAAACTGGACCTGGTCTTCAACCCTTAGAAAGAAGCCACTGATTAATCAGTAATACATGCTTCCTTCAGATAAGAACTCTCCATAATCAATAAATAACAGCCACGTTATACCATATGATTATCTTTTTAATAGAATGTCTGATGGCAGCACTATATTAAAAGCTCACACTGGATTTCACTGACGTATGTGGTGCCTTGCAGTGAGCAGGAAAAATATTTCACCCTTAAGGCATCAGTGATACAACAGATCAAAGGGAAGGAAGATACTTGGTCACAGGGGAAATGAGTCCATTTAGTCCCCTAACTTGCCTGTGTGGTGGTGCGAAAATATTTCTTTTAAACAGATTTCTCTTTACAGGGTTTGCATATGTTTATGCTGTTAAACAACTATGCCAAATTGCTAGCAACCCTGTTCATCTGTACCAAATACTGTGGAATGGGACAGCTGTAGATTTGACTCTTTTACAGGAGGGGAAAATTGGACTTCAAGTTATTCCTTGGTAAGACAAATAAAAAATAAAATAAAGTAAATGTAAAAAGGCTCTTTGACAACACGTTTGAAAAGCCTCATTGAACCTTGCACTATTTCAAAGCTATCAAGAGCCCTGCCTTGGCCTTGATTTAATCTGAACCAATGCATAATGCAACAAAGCTGTTCATAGTACATTAATTTTACTTCTATTTCCAGCAACCAGTTTTCAGACAAACATTGTAATCATTCGTAGTTACATAAGTTTATAATGGCTGCGAGTGTTCTCTTGCAATCAGTGCCAGTTGCTATTAGGTATGTAAATTGTTATGTAAAACATGCAGGTTTGACATTCTTCATCAAGATGACACATGGTTTTAATCTAGGAAGATACTTTTGGAGAAAATACTATTTCAAGCCAGGGGCTCACGCTTTGTATGCCACAAAAATCCAGACAGAGGCCAAATATATATTCATTTGTGACATGAAGATGGGATCTGGGTTTCTTCTTTTTTTATATGGAATTCTGCTCAGCTGTGTGTTCCCTGATCTGCATAAAAAATATACTGAGGACAGTTAAATGCACATGTCTAATTCAAACTTGGGTCCTCGGTTCAAATTTGTGTATTTCATATTTCCTCTGAAGTCATCAGGTTTTTGTTATCAACAGATTCGGGGCTTAGGAAATATGTTTGCTCTTTGTTGTTGTTTTGTCCACCTTTAAATGTCCTCCTTTTAAAAGCTGTCTTTTCACAGGCAACATCTGTGTCTGATAAAGCTACGTCATATTATTATCTCAGAAGAAAGGCGTTGCAAACACCAGGATTGACAAAACAGAAAATGAGAAACTTTCAACATGTCTATTTCCAGTCATAATCAGTGGATTCAAGCCTATAAATATCTCACTGCAACTGCCCCAGAAAGGAACAATGTAGCGGAAAGAGGAAGGGAAAAAAATTCCTGGCTGGGATGATTTGTAGATTTAGTATAAACAGAACATCATCATTCCCCAGATTAGGATTTCAACATAATCCTGAGTCAAAAATATTTTTTTCCAAGTCAAAGAATCTGAGCAGTTTTTCTACTTCAAAAATGAAAACAAGCATACTTACTCTGTTTAAAACCTAAATAGGGTATTCGTTCTATCGGCGTCTTCCTTTCTTTCATGTATTTATAAAGTGCCACCAGGAAGGCCTGCTCGTCCGCCCTGCACTCTTCACCAATGGCAACCTTTGGTTTTTCTTCATTTGAGGCTTTTTTACAGTTATTGTGGTTATTCTTCGGCTTGGTCAAGGCAGACCTGGCCTCACATTTTACCTAGAAAAGGAGGGGAAATGCCACATCAAATCAAGTGCAGCCCTGGACCGTCTACAAAGACATAGCTGGTGAGACATTTCACTGAGTGGGAAGGGAGAACCAATAAATTACCCGTGCCCTGGAATAGCTTTATAGAGGCATCACTGAATATGAATTGTCTTAGACCAGGGGGTGGTAAATTTCTATCAAGGGCCAGATAGTAAATATTGTAGGCGTTGGACCATTACAGTCTCTATTGCAAACGACTCGGCTCGAGTGTGAATGAAAGCAGAGGCAACATGTCAACAAATGGGTGTGGCTGTGTCCTAATAAAACTTTATTTATAGAAACAGGTGGCCAGTGGGCCCTAGTTTTCCAAACTATGCCAGCCTCTTAAGACTCCTTACAAGCATGTTGATGTGAAATCAGAAACAGTGTTTGTATCTGGTGGGGCCGGTCTCCTGTCTCTTTATATACTTGTCCTAAGGGGCACCATATGTTAATGTCATTGAACAATCCCTGCCTTCTCAACCAATAGTCCCGTATTTCACACTTTTTTTTTATAATCCTCACCAGAAGATACTTTTCCATCCATATTCAGCTAGAGTGGGAGGGAGGGAGAGAGACATTGATGTGACCGGGACACATCAATTGGCTGCTTCCCGAATGGCCCTCACCAGGGCTGGGACTGAACTGCAACCGAGGTACGTCCCCTTGATCAGGATCGAACCCGAGACTCAAGGTCCGCAGGCCGACGCTTTAACTGCTGAGCCAAACCGGCCAGGGCCACATTTCACACTTTGCATCAAAATGAAAGGCAAGTCCATCGCTTCATAGAAAACTTATCTTGTTGCTACTCTTTCCAGTAACCTGGAAAAACACGTGGCTGCCGGCAGATGTTGGCATCAGGAACATCAGCTAGGTCTCTGCCACCTCACCTGAGGGTGCAGCCAGATCCACCCTTGGTAGGAAAGCAAAGCTCCCCCTCTTTAATGTGGGCGTCTTGCTTCTTAGTCAGCTCTGAGAATGTAATAGGAAATGTGAACTTGCCACAAAGGAAAGAGTAGAGGTCAGCTAAAAACCCAAGAAGAGCAAGTGAAAAAGCTCCATAATTAAAAAATAAATGGCGGTTAATGCTCCAGATGTTCTTCCCTCCACACTCTGGGCGAATATGGGACTTGGCATGCCGAGCTGCTAACCTGTCGTTCCCTCCTCTCTGCCGTGTTCTACAAGAGGCCTTTGATGGTTGTTAAATATAACGCTAAGTTGCTGAGCTATTTTAATTGTTAAAGAGGGAAGTACAAAGGGTCAAACTTTAAGTTCAAGTGCGCCCGTGGGGAATGTGTACATTCCAATATTCTTTACATCTCCATATCTAACGTCGAAGCGAGGAGGGCAAGGGCTGGGGAAACGAGATGAATAAAAATGCCCCGCATCTCAGGGCGTTTTCCATTTCAGATTTCTGACTTCTCCCTTTCCCTCCAGCTTCTCTCTTTCCCTCCAGCTTCTCCTTCTCAAGCACGAAGAATACAAAAGACTGTGCTTATTTATTAAAGGGAAGTACATCCCTTTAAAAGGTTTTCTTTATTGCTTAGTCTCTAAAGTGATAGTTTCACATCTTCAGACAGGTCCTGCGAAAAGTAAAATAAAACCCAGTCAACTGGGCTTCTAGATAAGATGTTACTTTTTAAGGGGCTGTGAAAACAGTATTCAAACATTTTTCCATGTGGAAATTTTACTTACAGTATTTTCAAACCTGAGTACATTGTAACATTATATATTAAGGCGAACATCCAGTGAGCCCTTATGTGGTCATCACTTTTCACCGCCAGATTTTAGACTGCGGAGTCTAAAGCTCTGATGGAATCTATAATATCAGGGCTTTTTAAAATCATAAAATTACTCCGGTTTTCATCTGTATTGGTCCCACGCTCCTACAGTGCTTACTGTGGAGCAGGCTCTGCTCCGGTCACCCATCAGGCATTCTCTCGTTTCAGGCCCACAACGCTAAGGAGGCAAGTTGCTATCCTCCTGTTAGAGGAAACGGAGGTCCAAAAAGGACGAATGACCGTGTCGTACACAATCACAAGGTCATGTCCAAGTTAGGAAATGGAAAGTTTGGGATTCGAACCCAGGTCATCTCAACTCTAGGGCTTGTGGTTTTAAATGCTATACTTTACTGACACTCTTATAAAAATGTTCAGTTGGTAGTCAAAACACACTTCAAATTAAAACCCATCTGAGTGCCCTGGTCAGTTTGGCTCAGCGGTTAGAGCGTCAGCCTGCAGGCCGGAGAGACCCGGGTTCGGTTCCCGCTAAGGGCACGTACTTCGGTTGCAGTTTGTCCCCGGCACTGGTTGGTCGTGCGGGTGGCAGCCACTCGATGTGTCCCTTCACGTCGATGTTTCTCACTCTCTCTCCCTTCCTCTCTCTCCCTCCCACTCTATCTGTACAAAAAATGGAAAAATATCCTCGGGTGAGGATTAAAAAAAAAACAAAAAAAACCCATCTGAGTGACAACATTTTACAAAACCTGTAACTTAGGTGATTTATCAACTGAGCACCTATAATGAGCTAGAGACAGCGCTGTGGCTTCATACAGTCTACCTAATGTACATAAGAATCTTAAAAGGCTAGCCCTGCAGCTGTGGCTCAGTGGCTGAGCATCGACCCACGCACCAAGAGGTCAGCGGTCCGATTCCCGGTCAGGGCACATGCCCAGGCTGAGGGCCCGATCCCCAGTGTGGGGCATGCAGGAGGCAGCCAATCGATATTATCAATGTTTCTCTCTCCCTCTCTTTCTCTCTCTGTCTCTCTCTCTCTCTCTCTCTCTCTGTCTTCTCTCTCTAAAATCAATAAAGAAAAAAAATCATAAAAGGCCAGTAGTTAGCCCCATTTTACAGTTGCGGAAACTGAAGCTCAGAGAGGTTATATACTGTCACTTGGCTAGCGCGGGGCAGGACTCTGGGTTTAGAGGTCTCCCACCCTCTAAACCCAAATCTTGTACAAACAAGGGTATATGTAAGGTTTGCCTATAAAACAGGCTGAGTCTTCAACCTGCAGAGATAATGGGCCAATTATCTATATATTTAGGTCAGAAACGCCATTGTTAAAGGAGTATGAGGTTTATCCCTCAGTGGTGTCTAGACAGCTGCCTAACCTGCCTCACCTGTGCAGAAACCCCCAGACACAGAGCACAGTATGGAGGGGGCGCACAAATCAGGCCCAACATCCTTCAGGCTCCCTGCTTCACAGAGCAGGATCCAGGGGGAGCCTGTCACCTACTGAACTCCATCCTGAACCTCAGTGGGCTTCCCGGCAGCGTTCTCCTCGGGAACCAGGTGTTTCCTAAGACACGAACAGTGGCTTCCTCGCGGACTAGCTCCCTACATCTCTTCAGTTAATATAAATGAGCCCTTTAGGGTATTATTTCTGGGTAGAAACAGGCCGAGTTCTTTTCTGCATTTTTTTCACATTTATCCAAAACGTTCTCAGCCTTTTAATCTGCTGAAATATGAAATGGAAGCTAGCCTTCGTGTTGGCTTTGAGAAAGCCCACCCTTTTGTAGCAGTTAATTACAAGAACTGTTTTGCCTGACCTGTACATCTTGTACTTGCTGAGTTCACTAAGAGCTTTGGGGTTTCCAAAGTGATTGAGGAAGTGCTAATTAAAGAATCCACATTTAATGTTTTCAATGAACCACCACCTATTTGATATTAACCACATCCTTTCACTGGATTGAGTTATAACTAATTTGGCTTTCAACTGGGGCAGCGAGATGTGCTGAGCCAGCAGGAAAGGCAGCTAGAATATTTCAGTGTAGTCACTAACTTGCTAGGAGACCCTCGTTGTCTTTCTCCAGAAACCAGGAGGAGAAACCATGAAGGTAGTTCTGAGAACCAAACAGGATGAAAAAATATGGAACATAATGGAAGTATCTTTATTTGTAAAATATTGAAAGTATAGTTATGATTTAAATGAAAGAAGAGATTTGAGTACCATGGCTTCCTTGTCATGTTCCTTTTAGAATATAAACCACCTGTGATATACTTCTGGCTCTTGGGAAGTGCTTACAGGATGTGAAAAGATCTGCCTTCCTCCAGTGGAGGCCTTTCTTTAGAGACCTAGGCTGAGACGACGTCTCTTGTATACGTCACCCCCTGAATGGGCTTGGGCCCCAGATCCGCTGCTATAAGATCCCAGGGGAAGCAGCAGGGCTTGACTTGGACATCTTCAGAGAACTGGCAGCCGTTTTCCCACGTGACTTTGCTGTCTTCGGAAAGCCATGAACTCCTCAGTCTTGTAAAGAAAGCAGATGTCAGGTTCGTGTTGAGACAGTGCAACCTTTTGATGGCCGCAGGTAGATTACTCGACTTGCTCTTCCAGTCAGGCACCCAAGAAACCTAGTGGATCCTCCCACTAAGTGCATCACATGTGGAGATGCAGGAAGCTAGTAAGTTAGTACTTATCCATAGTCAGAAATGGTCTGTTTGGGAAACTTTTGGGAAAAAAAAAAAAAAAAAAGGCACACAGTCATCTGAACTGTTGCTCCCAGCTCAGCAAACGATCAGACGGTCACAGGTTTGTAATCTCTACTGTCATGTTTCGTGAGAAAAGGCCAGTTGATGATACAGATGCCTTTTTAATGGTAGTCCTGGGCAGATGTGGCTTGTTCATTCTGCAGGGATTTTACACTGGTCTGCTGGTGCCAACAGATAAGCCCACTATACCTCATACCTACCAGTCTCTCGTCTACATGAAGTGGTCTTGCCTGAGCCACTGCAATGGAACAGCAGGACTATAATCCAAGACTCCAAGAAGAGCTGGACGTTTAGACCAGTCCTGGGGAGCGGGCTGCAATAGGACATCCACACATTCTCCCTTGAAACCAACGATGGAAGGACAATCCTCCTCCAGGTAAAAATTCTGAAAGGATGCACTGGTGGGAGGTGGGGTAGGAATGGTCACTTAGACAACCCGGGCTTGAAGACGATCCCTCCTAAGAAGGATAAGCCAGTGAACATCAGCTGCAGGACAGGGTCCTGCTCTCTTCAGTTTTGCAGGGCTGAGCGTGAGTCCTGGGCTGCCTTCCATGGAGAGAGATATTGGAGGGTTGTGTTTTCAGGTCAGTTGTAGGAGTTTCATAAAACTCCCAGAGGCATCGTTGGTAGTGACTCCACGTGACATAAGAAGGGGCTTCATCCTGCTGGGCTCAGGTATAGGACATGCTGGTGTAAACGCATGATGTCACCTTAGAGGTATGGGGCAGGGAGCCAACAAGTCATCGGCCGTTCAAGCTCTGCTGAATGTTACAATTCTAAAACCTTCTCACTCCACTCTTTAGGACCTTGCAGACCACATCACAGGGAATAAACTGTTCCTGCTCACCTCCTTCAAGCCCAAGGAAGCCAAAGCCCTAGATAGGAAGCTCGAAGGCCAAGATGTCCAAATGGCTAGAAAATGTTGCCCATCGTGTTCAGGTGGACTCATTGACAGATGGCTAAATACATAGAGCCAACACTTCTACTAGTTGATCTCTTTTCAACCCTTGGCGCTCTTGCAAGCACGAAGAGGTAACTAAAACGTCCTCAGAAATTCCCGGTGAAGATGAGATTTATAGAACGTGAATGTCTAGAATTTGCTTCGTTACACGGAGAGAAGTGGAGGACACGGCAGAAAAATAGATTTTCAACAAGCACTGAATTCACGTTTTTCTACAGCAGGATCTTCCAAATCCACCAATGATCATAAAGTTCCCCCTTTCATCAGTGTAGGCCTGGAATCTGGAAATGTGGTAGCGGCTGCTATCCGGTCTCCCATTCAGGTCCTAAAGGGGCTACTGCTGCCTTTGGCACAGAAACACCTAAACGCAAACACCCCGTAAACGGAACCATGGAAACCTGATCCAAGCGCACAACAGTAAGAAAGATAAGTCTAAAAATATGAAGTGACACTTCACACTTCCTGGTGCTAAATAGTTCAGGCATGCACTTTCAAGATCCCAAAGAATGCTCAGGCGAAATAGGCCCAGGTCCCCAAAATAAATAAATAAATAAAATAGTCTAGAATTTGAACCTTCATTCTGCATTGAGAAAGATCTTTAAAGACATATAAATGTGTATGTGGGTATACGTATACATGTAAGCGTTTGGTTATGTGTCTTTCATTTTACTCTAAGGTGAATTGGAGGTGATTTTGAAAAAAACAACATAACTAAAATGATTAATTCTCCATTTCTAATTTCATCCTGTTAATCTAGGAAGCATATTTAGCTGAGCACATTCAGAAAGAGGATGGCTCAACTGGTCTATTTTTGATACAAGCAGAGTAAACTATGTCATTGTGTCACCTACTATGAAATCTCAGCCTCAATGACGTGGGCGCTTAATCATCTGTCCTTTACCCAACAGGCCAAACTGGGAGGTGGGAAGTCTTTCTGTTGACTAATCAAAATGCTCACCAAAGCAGGGGAGGTGGAGGGAGTAGACAAAGCAGAGAGCTGTGAATACCAAAGTTAGATCTGGAACTGCAAACTGCCACCAAGACATAAGAGTTGAGAGAGAAAGAGGAAACGGGAAATAAAAAGATGCAGCAAAATGAACACCACGGCGCAAAACAACCGTACCTTGGCAATGGCTTTGCCATCCGAATTGTTGTTGGCATCTTTAACAGCACTGAATGAATCTCTTCTCTGTGGGCACGGTTTCTTTTTGCGTGGTCTGCCTTTAAGATTTGGCGCTGAAAACAAATGGAGAACGATTGGTATACATTTTCATCGGCGTGGGTTTCCTTATTAAAAACTGAGACTCTCACTACCGTGGCCCCCATCATGTATGCAGAGAAGTGTACACATCTGTGGTAGCCAGCCCTCACTTTATGCTTCTCTGTCCTATGGGCTGCATCCTGGAAGACCATACACGTCTGTGCTTCTTTCCCAAAGCTAATCTATTACACTTCAACATGTCTAATTAATATAAATAAAATGAAGTCCTTAGCTCTAAAGGATAATGAAAGGAAAATGCATGTCCCCATTGTTAGAGAAACAGACTGAGCTGAAGACAGCCCTGAGCCAGGCTCCGAGCTTATTCTTTGTTTTGTTTTGTCTCTTTTCAGAAACCGAAGTGATGTGCCAGCCCATTATGGTATCATAGTAATGCTATGTGTGAAAACATCTCTCTTCAAAACTGGAGACACGAGCATTTCCTCAAATTATACAAATAAGTAGAGAGAGAGAGCTACAGAGAGACATTCACAATAACAATCTAAAAAAATATGCATTATTACATGTATTTACTAATAATATCGCGACCAGCATGTTTCAAATCTGAACAAATCTGGCAGACACATTTAAATCAGCATGCTCTTTTTTCCTTCTCAATATATATTTTTTAATGACCATGCTGAGGGTTATTTAAAATAACTTCCAAAGATCACACGGGGGTTAGCCAGATTCCGTGGAGATTATTTATACTTTCTAAAAGCCACAGACAAATCAAAGTTCTATTTCAACCTTGATGTTGAGCTCGAATCCCTTTCAGATCCATACGGAAAGAAGAAGAAGAAAAAAAGAAAAAAGGAAGAAAAAAGCTGCTGTTTACTGAGGGCTATGGCTGTCCGGCATCAGCTTTCCCATTTAACTTCATCAGTCACCCAAGTCGAACAAAAGTAAAACAAACCAACTAACAACTAGCTCTTGAAGAATTCCGAAGGAATGAATTATACCCCCAAGCCATTCCTTTCAGACCCTTCCAGGTACCCACACTCTTCAGGATTATGACAATGCCAAATCTGAACAACTCAAACCCTCTTAATTGTTGTTAATCTTGCTCGCGCCACGCAGCTAACCAGTGGTTTTAGGACGTTTTATATTGGACTCATTTTACAAACACAGTTAATCCCACTAATTTGATTTTCTACTGTGGATAACAGCTGGCTGGTCCTACAGCTCTAAAAAAGAGAGCTCCCTTTACAACCAGGCAAAAGTTTAAAAAGTGGCTTTGGGGCTCCAGCTCGGACCCCCCTGCCCCCCATCAACTCCGCTCTCCCTTCTCTCCTTTCCCCAAAACATGAGTCTGAAAGTCCATCCCCGAAAAGCCAGCCTGGAATTAGGGAAGGTAAACAAGCTCACAAACACAAATCAAGCAAAGAGAAAGTAGCGATTACCCATTCCAGTCGACAAACATCTGCCTGACGATGCCTGGGCTCATGAAAGCTACAGCGTGTGCCTGACTGCTCCCCGCCACGGCCAGGGAGTCTGGGCTGGACTCGGTTTGGATATCAGCTTCCCTCCGAATGAGAGCTGCGAAGCTCCGCGCTGGGCTTACAACTCCCCTCCCCCGGCAGCTTCATTACTCATGTAAACACACAGCAGTGACTAGCACCGAGTGTGTGGGATGAGCTCTGAGGACTTTGCTGGAGTTGCCAGACTGGCAGAGAGAGAGGGCTCTGCTCTCTCCACCTCCCTGCACGGGGCTGGTGACTTCATCTGGCCTGCCTCGTGGATCCTGACCCCCTGCTCCCCTGCGGGAGTGTGATGCCACCTTCCATGACTGACACGGTCCTCAGCCTGGAGCCAGGGTGTGGGCTCTGGGTTTGGAGACTGTGCAGCACAGAAGTGTTTCCACAGCTGCCCCGAGTGCTAAGCTTTAATGATCGCTGGGGAAGGATGTACTTTCATGTCCCCTTATCAAAATAATAGCAGCGCAGAAAGCTGACAAACAAACTTGGGGTAGATCTGAGGCGGTTCACGGAAAGAAACAAAACAGTATCGCCTCTGTTCTAAGACTGGTTCCTGTTGGCAAAAAAAGCATTTGAACCTAAAAGGCATTTATTTCCAGAAAAGCTTTCAAATCCCAAAGGCCTTTTAGATAGAGAGAACTTGCATTAAACAGGCTGTTTTAAATAAAGACAAAGGTTCCGGGAACTGACAATAAGTCATCTCCAAATCGGGTCTGTTTTCCCCATTCTTTGAGCTGTTTTCAGAACCCAGAGAAGCACATGTCCTTCCCCAGCAGATTCTGAGAATTACCAATTTAGAATACACCAGGACCTAATATTCTGGCCACACAAACTTCAGCTCTGCGTGGGATCTGATCTAGAGAAAAGAGCTTCTTGTTCCTGGTAAGGCCAGTACACTGATATTTCAGGTATGTTGGCTAAATCCCATCAATCACTCAAGTCTCAGACTCAAATTCCTCTTTTAGTCTGCTCTCTGAACTCCTTTGCTGACCTTCTCTTAGGCTGGGTATCATCACTTTGTACTTTATTCTTTGTACTTGAGCTGTGTTTGGTGGCTTGTTATTATACTACATCGGAGAGTCCTTAAGGACAGGGCCAGGTCGGATTCGTCTCTCATTCGCCCCAGCACGCACCCAGGAGGCGACATTGCATACTATGGATTTGTTGAATGAACGATAGACTAATGGAAATAAGGATGCCCACATGTCTCTCCTTTGTCTCTTCTGGAGCTGGGCCTGCCCACCTGACCAGGTGTATACCTGTCACACTGGGCACCTGTGAAACCCTTCGACTTTAGTACTTACCCTTGAACTCTGGGAACATAAACCAGTGGGAACTGAGACAGAAAACCTGCAGCCTTTTGTTCCTGACTACTGTTAAGCCACTGTGCCTGGCATCTCACGGGGGCCAGAATCTTGTCCCACATGCAAAGAGCGAATGCCCTAAGGAGGAGATGTTCAAAGTCCCAGCTCCCATAATACACTTCGAGGTCTTTTGGATCCACAGAACCCAGCGATGCTTTGAGATTGAGAGGCTGGCTTTTGGGGAGAGCAACATTTCTGGAGCCCCGTAGGGTCAAGAAAAGAAATCATTTGCTAGGTAGGTGAGTGAAAATAAATGTTTTGTGGTATGATAGTGGTCAGGTGGAGAGCTGTTCTGGACCAACCTAAACTGGTACCCCCCGCCCCTCAACAGCTAAGGGCTACGTTAGAACCTAAATCCCAGACTCCAGAATAACACCAGCTCCAGTGCCTCAGATGAGACTGATCTCTACCAGCAAAGCTACTGTGGGAAGCCAGCAATACACTTACCAACAGCATAACTAACAAGTCAGCTCTACTTTAAAAAAACATCGCGTGAAGCAATAAACGCAGTTACTTTTGACTTTTTCTTTGTGCATATAACCCACTAGCCATCCCTGCCTGCCTCACTCAGAATTCAGTCAATGCTCTCTGCATGAATCTTTTTAATATCATACATGAATAATCGTAATAAGAGCTGATCCTTACTGAGCACCTACTTTCTCTGTAGCAGCCAGCACTTTGCACACAATAACTCTTTTATAACTCACAACAAGCCAGCAGAAGGTGCGCTTATGAATCCCATTTTACAGACCAGGAAACTGAGAAAGAGATGTCATTACTTGTCTTAGGTTGTATAACAGGTTATTACCAAAAGGATTCCAGCCCAGGCAATTGGACTTTATCCAGAGCCTCTGCTTTAAGTAACTTCTCTCTAATAGACAGACACACACACTCAGTCTCATAATGAGGTATTTATATTATTAACTTGGGCTGGTAATCACCAAGGAGATTTCCCCAAGTGAGAACACTCCCGAACACTACATAGCATGCAACTCATGCCAAGCAACAAACAGCACCCTGCAGAACTGACAGCAAGCAGGGTCCCCATGGGCCAGTCCTGACTCAGCAGTAGGTAACAGGACTTCCACCAAAGCCACAGACTTCCAATAAAACTTAGAGAACCGTGCTCATTTTCTCCTTGCAGAGGGCCACTGACTCGTCTGCCCGAACAGTGAAAGATTTCTGTGGTTTAAAAAAAAAAAAGTCCTCTCTGACTGCCCATCTGTTCCTCTTACTCAGTGACATGAAATGAACAAGTATTCACCTTTGAGAAGTCACTGCTATTTCGATAGGTGTTAATCCCACAAGAATCGGCCACCACTCTGCTCCACGCCACTTTGACCTCTAGCCCTTGTGTTTTGTTTTGTTATTTCTCTTTGTTAACTCCTTCACATATTAAAGAAATATAGTCTCTTTTTAAAGACAATATAGCAAAACAAGTTTTGTGTTGTTTTCTTCTTAGAGTCTAGAACTCAGAGTCCCAGGCACTCATTTATAGATTTACTTCACAATGAGTCCTGACAAGTTATGTGTCAGTGCAGGTGTGGGAAACTTTCATCTCAACCCCAGCTCTTGCAATAATAATAATAAAACAAAGGAAATGTAACCAGTTACTGGCAAAGTAAATTGCTTTTGGCTTCAATGTTCCTGTTTTTCTCAACTGTGTTCTTCCTGTCATGACCGTCTCTCTCTCTCTCTCTCTCTCTTTTTTTTAATAACATTTATGCTCTTGGAAATACCACGAAGATAAACTGCTATAAGAGCTGGATTGACTCATTAGTTAACAACTCTCTCTTCTCCTTTTGCAGAGAGGATTTTGTTGCCAACGCAGCTACATATTCTCTCGAGAAATTCTTTGTGAGCTTCTACCCAGAGAAAGGACTTGCTTGCTGGTGGGGATTGGAATTAGGGGAATGGAAAACCAGGCATCATTTTCCTAAGAGTTTAACCCCAGGGTCAATGTCTAGAGGAAGTCAGCAGAGAGAGTTAACTTATTTGACTTGCAAGTTGTGTGTGTGTGTGTGGTGTGGTGTGGTGTGTTTTAAACACTAAACACAAGCCAGAAAACTAAACTCCACTGATTGAAGTATTAAGGACTGACAAACAATTGTTCTATGTATAGTATCCATTACTGATAATACTTTGCATTTCTCTAATGCCTTTCCTCTGAGGACATCAATTCTCTGGAACATTTTCTTTATAGACAATAATCTTAAAATACTCTGGCAAGTTTCAGCATGAAGCATTGCTCTTTCTGGAAAAAAAACACACAACAACAACAACCCTACCCTAATTTAGTTATCATTTTCTATTTTCAATGTTTTCCTTTTGACTATTTAGAAACTTCCTCTTTCACTACAACAAAAATAGTATGAGTGTTTTTAAAGTTATTAACGTATGAATAAAAGATTAGAAACCAAGAATGGCAGAAGGCTTGATCAAAGCCACTCCTGAAATTTATGGGTGTAATAAAAGAAAGGCATTTCACAGATAATCTCTTACAGAATTTCAGTTTTCAAATACTTGGGGAGGGGGGGGAAAGCAAAACAGAAGCTCTCAGCCCTCGTTTTTGCTTTAACTTAAAGACATTTTTACTTTAAAAATTCATAAATGAGTTTCTGAAATTTTTATTTTAAACCCACAGTTTATTGCATACACTCACTATGCCATGCCTAACAGAGTGGGGCCAGGAAACTCTAGCTACTGGTACTCAGCATCTGTTCACTGGTTGAGTCTTTCCATGATGTCACAAAGCATTAATTACACACAGTTTAAGAATATTCCAGTTTGCTTTTATTCTGTTTTTCTATAAACAGCCTTTTAAACCCAAGAGAATTGTTTGAGAAGCAACTGCATTATCTGAGCTATGAACACACAGAGCCACTGTCAAGCACAACTCATCCTGTAGAACCGTCTAACTTAAATCATAATTTTAAAGCAACAAGCGCATTTTAAAGAACACCGCGTTGTATCATTTTCTATCATTGTTCTGACAGTTCCATATTTAAGTGTAATTTTTTTCTCTCTCAAATAAAAGCATTAATCAGATGGATCCAGAGTTGCGAACCGAAACTAGAACCAAACACATATGCCTTCACTCTCAAATGCCACCAAGACCCCACAGCCCTGAATCATGAGTACTTCTGGCCACTCCGGATGTCATGGCCGCTTTGAGTGTCCAAGTTTGCTTTGGCCTGAGCCATACCCTGGTTGACTGAGCCACATAGTTCCGACTGTCTACAATCCCGCATGTCCAATGATCTCTGCTCTCAGAATCCAGGTCCCCTTTCTACCTTCTGGAAAAGGGTGAGCAGTTGTGTTGTTAGAAAGAGGTTGGAAAAATAAAGAAAAAAAGGAACAGGTTTTATATGAGGCCCAGTCATCACTTTGGCTCTTGGTCAAAATCACTGAGATCCCCCCAAGTCACTAATGAGAGTGGAATGTACGACTGCATCTGTCATACCTGGATTGCCTGGGCAGCTGAAGTCCAAGGCAGCCATGGACTTCATTGACTGCTCAACAAACCATGTAAGTAAACAGTCTTGTAATCCTTTCCAAAACATGCCCAGTCTTACTCACGCCTGTTTCCTACTGGTGAATGCTGGAGCAATTGTTAATGCTCCTGATCAAAATTTTAGTAATTTTATAGGCATGCGATTTGCATAGCTATTTCCTGATCCGCCTTCTTTCTGCCCTGGAGGTCGTCATTTCTCAGAAACACTTAAAGATACAGATTTGACTTCTCCCCTCCCCCACCCTATAAATGGAATGCGACTGGTTAGTTCATCTGGACTGCTAATTGGTTTGAAAGCATGTGACTGAGTGCATTCTTGCCATTAAAACACAAGCAAACCTCTTTTTTTAGTGAGGTTTTACCAGCTGTGATGGGTGGATTTCTATCTTTATTTCACCTTTTGTGTCTTGAAGAGAGAGACATTTAAATGACCAAATGTTATCGTATATTATTCTGAAATATGTAGTGAATCCCAAAGGAATGCAGAAATGTTCTAGAAATAGGCTTGTCCACACACTGGCAGAGAAGAAAGGGATGGCAGACACGGTCCGCGACCACTTTCGGAATAAGGGGAGAATCTGGGAGCTAAATGTAGCTGTCTGTGGAGGGAGTCTGGGTTTTCAGAAGACTGACTCGATCAAAGAATTCCGGAACCGAAATCCATGCCAGACCTTTCAAACTCTCACCTTCCCTTTGGTCTCTTCTGGCTAACCCCAAAATCCCCCAGGGGAGCCCCTCTCAGTGAAAGGTCCCCTCCAGGACCTGTAAGGGGATGGAGGCTTGGCTCAGCTGTTTTGCAAAGGCTTATCTGTCTTTAGAGTAAGGTCGTCTATCTGTCTACCATGGCACCAGGGCCTAAGGGAAGACTCCTTTGCCTTAGAATTCCAAATATTCTGTAGAGAGACATCAGGGCAGAGTGGATACCTGAGGACTTAGCTTGGTCCTTAAGGTACAAGTGGCACACACAGGGTCCGATTTCCTTCCCCCTGCAAGGTCTTGTCATGAAGTCACAAACTCAGCAAAACAATGGACTCTAAAAATGCCACAGTGGCTCAAATTTCCATGTTCACATCCTACTGTTCTCCCCAGATGCCAGGTACCCACTAGCCATTTTCAGGTCCCAGGCCCCAGACTCCTCCCTTAATGGAGAAGGCCATGCTGTGTGAAAGCTATTACAATCAGATTGGGAGTGTTGTTTCAATGTTCACTATGTACTTTTTTAAAAGATTTCAAAATAACTCATGTTTCCATTTTTCGAGGACTATTCAACAAACACAGATTTAGTCTTTCTTAGTATGACTGTCTATTAAAAGAATAGAACATTAATTTAAGGTACTCGTCTTTTTTAAGGTTATTTAAGGGTCCATCCTGGAAATACTTTTTAAGAACATTTTGATTTCCAAAATTTGTAAAGTTTATAAAGATAGGACCTTTTAAACACAGAGAATTAATCCTCCCCTCCCCGCGTTTTGTTATAATCAATAAACCTGCTCATTCTAGTTTATGATTGATATGTTCTGTGGTGTTACTATTGAACATGACAGAACAAAAGTGAAAGCTACATTTTTGTATTGAACAGCCTGGCAAGGAGCAGTAAATATCAGGACAGTTTTTAAATTCATATATAAACAGGACATTCTTGTTCAGTCATTTCTCCAGGTATAGAAATGAGATATTCCATTTTCAACATTGAGGATAATTGATTGGCTACATTTCTAAAAAAAAAATCCCCTACTTGGAAATAAGTAAAAGAGACTGTGTGTGTGTGTGTGTTTTGACATAGAACTATTTAACTTCTTACCAGATTTGGGCTAATATGTTAGGAGACATTTTCTTTTTTCAAATACATACACATAAGAAAAAGTAAAAGGTCATCAAGTAATAAACTCCCAATTTCTTTTTTTAAAAATTGCAAAAGGAATGTGTACTTCATATGGACTGTTTTATTCTCTTTATGCTTTTCTACATTTCAGAAAGAATCACTTAACACATAGGAGAGTCTCTTACTTAAAAAGTAAAACAAGCCCTGGCCAGTTTGGCTCAGCGGTTAGAGTGTCGGCCTGCGGTCCAGAGAGACCCGGGTTCAGTTCCCGCTAAGGGCACGTACTTCGGTTGCAGTTTGTCCCCGGCCCTGGTTGGTCGTGCGGGTGGCAGCCACTCGATGTGTCCCTTCACGTCGATGTTTCTCTCTCTCTCCCCCTTCCTCTCTCTCCCTCCCACTCTATCTGTACAAAAAAATGGAAAAATATCCTCAGGTGAGGATAAAAAAAAAAAAAGTAAAACAGTAACTATTCTTGTTTGTCTGAGACTCTGGGATTTTTCTTTGCTCATCTGAGTCCTTCCCATCCCTTCCACCCTTAGGACACTCTGTGCCTCATTTGTTTGTGGATGTGTATGACCGACATCCAGAAAATGGCATTCAAAGCTCTACTGTGCTACCAAGGCGCTCGCAGAGGGTGGTAAAGAGAGTGTGTTGGAGCAGGGTGGAGTGAGGGTCCAAAATGAGAAGAGAAAGGCTCAGCGTTGTGCATGGAGAGGCTGTGAAAGGGTCCATGATACTCGGAGCAGGCTTACTGATTGTAACCAACTAGGGACAACTAGCGTGCTCAGTGCGTTGAAGTCAGTGTGGAGGAACAACGGCCGGATACCATCAGAAATCCTAATGTGAAAGTTACGATGAACAGGAAAACACAGGAAAGGTCAGAACTTCTTCCCCTTTTTTGTCAGAATAAGATAAATCATTTCTGTGACTGTTAAGAGCTGCTTTGTCCATTATGCTCACCACTGGCCACATGGGCCACGGAGCCCCTGAAATACATCTAGTCTGAAACCAAGGTGTGTCAGAAGTGAAAAATACACATTGGATTGCCAAGGCCATGCAAAAAAAATGCAAGGTATCTCATTGATATCATGTTATATTGATTACATATTGAAACGATAGTTTGGATATACTGGATTAAATAAAATATATTATTAAAATTAATTCGACCTGTTTCTTTTCATAGATGGTTACTAGAAAATTTTAAGTTACATGTGGCTTGCATTATCTTTCTCTTGGGTGATGCTGGTTTAGTCAACAGTTCAATGTTATGATTATAGATCTGTCCTTGGATATATGTGTTAAAGTGCAGACAGAACAAGATTAATATCTGTGGCTAGAATCATCAGCAAAAGCGATGATTGGAAAGTTTCACTGTAATTTAGATTTTTATTCACTGTTATGAAGAATAGTTGTGTGTAGATGTTAGTATCTGAAAATTCTGTCTCTGTAAAATTCAAATCTGGTAATCATTGACTCAAAGTTAATAAATGGCCCTGATGAAGATGTTATTTCGTTAACCTCCTTAACTAAGATGCCAAAGCAAATGTTAAGCCTGGACAACAGACTTGAGAGGAAAGAGTAAAAGAGAGAGAGAAAATAGAGGCCGTCTACTTACTAATTTTACTAATTATTCTTTTCTGCTACCAACATGGGCTGAGTATAATGTAAGCGATTTGCAAACTGGATAAGAGAAAATAGTTCTTGAATGTTTTTGTCTATTCGGAAGG